AGACCACCCGTATATCAATTGGTTTAATTTTGTTAATAAAACAATTGAAAGATTAAATTTCTAAATAAAATTAATTAATTAATGATACAATATTAATTATACAGTCGAACCTCCAATAACGGACACCTCTAAACAGCGGCCATTTACTAAGAACATTAAAAAAAAAAAAAAAAAGTGCATATAGAATAAAGGTTTGACTGTATATTTTTAAGTAATGGTTTAATTATCTATGACTCATAAAATTTCGAAAGAAATGTTTCAATTTATTTATAATGTTTTTTAATTAGGTTTAAATTGATTTTTTTTAAATTTAATTTTCAATGAAAACGGGATTTTAAAAGATGTTTGGTAATTTATAATTGGTTAGAAGACCAAAAATAAAATCTTTTCATTGTAAATAAACTAAAGGGAAAATTCTTAAACANTTTGTATTTTTTCATAAACTTACTGAAATTTTTCAGTATTTCTGTCATGAGAATAGAATATATTTATTAAAATTTGGCTAGTGATCAAAATCTTTCTTATAGTTGTATGAGTTTGTGATTTGTCATTGAAATTTTTAAATTATTAGTTGTTACGCCTATCTACTTTATTATCGTTCTAAGAATTTACGTTTGAATTTATAATTTTTATAATATCTAACGATAAAAAAGTGTTTTAGTTACTGTATTTTATGTCAACGAAAATTAAACACGTGTCGCAGAAATTTTTGGCTAAATTTCAGAAGCTTGTAGTAGGGGAAGCTTAAAAAAAGACCCTAAAAATTACAGGGTCGTTTTATGATTTGAAGCTTAATTATCAAGTTATTAAATGGCGTCATTTCCGTTTTTTTAAGTCTTTAAGCTTAAGCTTTTAAAGTCTATCGAACAACTCATTTTTTAAAATTAATCCTTTTTAATTTAATTAATTAATGCAGCCAAGAACGCCTTTATAGCTGTTCATCAGTGGCTTCGAGAAACAGGCATCTTCAACAATCATCATTGATAGAGGAAGAGCAAGAACAGCACCAACACCGGATATGGTAGAACATATTATTGCTAGAATCCTGATAAATAGTCCTACAATAGGCGCTACTCATTCAAGTGTGTGGCAAATTCTTCATGAAATCCAATTGTATCTATCTCGTATAGAATATACAGCGAGTGCAGGCATTTATACAGTACCTCATGATTTACCACTACGATTACAATTTTGTCAATGGTGTCTGCGAAGAAAGAGCCTCGTTTTCTCATGACGATCTTTTCATATTGAAGCGGTATGATGCAGTACAGACTTTTAAAAAATAGAAATAACGTCACTATACTTTGACGCTTAATAACTCGCTTCAGATTAAAAAAAGGCCCTTGACATTTTTATTCAGGCTTATAGATGGGTTTTCCCTTAAAAGACCTCTGAAATTTGGCTAAACATTCATAAAACACCCTGTATAATTAGACCTACAATTAATCATATGTACAATACAGTATATTTATAAGCAAAAATAATGACTCAAAAATAACATTACAATCTAAAAATAAGCTTTCCTATGTAGAAAGTTTGTCTACGAATAATTTTTCTAATAATAATTTTGTATAAATAGAAAAAGAAAATGCAGTAAAAATGACTTCCATAGACTTAAATTTCATTTATTTCTTGACTATTCTTATTAACTCAATCATACTCCAAAACTGTGTTAGATAATGACATATTAATTAATAAATTGAGAATTAGGTTTTTATATTATAATATAAATACAACTTTATTAATAAACTCATTTAAAATCGTAAGAATTTAATTCGTAAGATAATACATTTATATATAATTTATACAAATATCTTAGTGAATAAGATGATATTTTATGATTTAATTAACAATTAAAAATATATAATATTGATAAGTTTAATGTTGTTAATGTTAAAAATATCACCAACGTTCGTCGTTTTGCTGTTGAATTCTTGTAAATTTTGATGTCAAGATCGATGGTTTGTAGTTATCAGAATTATAATCATAATAATCTGGATAGACACGAAAGTAACGAACAGGAACTACGTAACTGTAAATTGCTCCTTGATTTCCATAATAACCTCCAGGTAAATGATAATTACCGTAACTTCCATATCTTGGATAGTAATTTCCGTAATTGCCATAGCTTCCATAATACGGATAACTAGAATAGGGGCATATTAAATTTTATATATTATTACTTTAAAAATCAGATAATTAATTTAAATCCGATGAATTAAAGTAGCCTAAAGTATAAACTATGATATTCTAGTTTGATAACATACAAAGGAACTGGCCTGCTTTTCTTTGCGAATTTCAAGAACAGGGAATTAATTCCAGTAATTGATAACGTTGTAAAGACGAAGAAACAAAAGAAAAATGTACAACGATTCATTTTTATTTTGAAATTCTGTAAAAATTTCATAAAAAATTATAATACTAAAATGATAAATTTTAAAATTAACAAGGAGTTTTACTTACCTAAAGATGTCTCCTATGTGAGCTAAGCTTTCAGATGGAGGTTCTATATAAACATTGACATGCATTTTCGCTATTTAAATGTTTTTCTTTATTTTAAGGGCGTTCATATCCTGTTCATCAAAACAATTAACCAAACCTAAAAATTATTTTAAATGTAAGAAGGTCGTTAAGAGCAGGTCACATTTAGAAAATGTATACAAACACGACCCTATCATATACAATAAAATTATCAAAATATTAACTGAATTAAGATTAAAAACTTTCCAAAATTTTCAGGAAATATTCTAATAAATACATTATTTGTTTTCAGCTTAAATTTTGTTAAAGTTTTAATTAAAAATATTTTAATTTTTTTTTTGAAAATAGGAGGAACCAGAAATTAAAAAGAAAGGTCACTGACTTAGGAACATTGAGGTCAAACAAAAATAAATTTTTTCTTAACATTCCCACACGTATTTAGAAGGTGTAAAACTTAATTTTTAATTATTTTATCGTTTATTTAAATTAATAATTTTTTAATTAATTATTTAATTAATTATGAATAAAACTAATTAATTTTTTAATCCATGTGATCTCCACGTGTTTAGAGAAATAATCAATTTCAAAATAGAAAATTGATTATTTCTCTGAACACTTGGATTTTGATAGTAGGAAACTGAAATTTATTAATTAAATTTTCATTCATTAAGTCGTGAGTAAAATAATCGATTTCAATTTGAAATTAATTATTTTATTCACGGGTCATTTATTATAAATTATGTAAATTTTAAACACGTGTTCAAAAATGTACATAATTTCTTTTTTTAAATTTATTATTATATCGCAATAAATCTGTAAACACTTTATTCAATTTCAAAATATTTTGATATATTTAATTCGCACTTGACTCATTAATGTTTAATAAATGATATTTAACCTTAATTTAATAAACAGATTATTATTATTATTCGTTTCTTTTTGTATTTTTTCATAAACTTACTGAAATTTTTCAGTATTTCTGTCATGAGAATAGAATATATTTATTAAAATTTGGCTAGTGATCAAAATCTTTCTTATAGTTGTATGAGTTTGTGATTTGTCATTGAAATTTTTAAATTATTAGTTGTTACGCCTATCTACTTTATTATCGTTCTAAGAATTTACGTTTGAATTTATAATTTTTATAATATCTAACGATAAAAAAGTGTTTTAGTTACTGTATTTTATGTCAACGAAAATTAAACACGTGTCGCAGAAATTTTTGGCTAAATTTCAGAAGCTTGTAGTAGGGGAAGCTTAAAAAAAGACCCTAAAAATTACAGGGTCGTTTTATGATTTGAAGCTTAATTATCAAGTTATTAAATGGCGTCATTTCCGTTTTTTTAAGTCTTTAAGCTTAAGCTTTTAAAGTCTATCGAACAACTCATTTTTTAAAATTAATCCATTTTAATTTAATTAATTAATGCAGCCAAGAACGCCTTTATAGCTGTTCATCAGTGGCTTCGAGAAACAGGCATCTTCAACAATCATCATTGATAGAGGAAGAGCAAGAACAGCACCAACACCGGATATGGTGGAACATATTATTGCTAGAATCCTGATAAATAGTCCTACAATAGGCGCTACTCATTCAAGTGTGTGGCAAATTCTTCATGAAATCCAATTGTATCTATCTCGTATAGAATATACAGTGAGTGCAGGCATTTGTACCTCATGATTTACCACCACGATTACAATTTTGTCAATGGTGTCTGCGAAGAAAGAGCCTCGTTTTCTCATGACGATCTTTTCATATTGAAGCGGTATGATGCAGTACAGACTTTTAAAAAATAGAAATAACGTCACTATACTTTGACGCTTAATAACTCGCTTCAGATTAAAAAAAGGCCCTTGACATTTTTATTCAGGCTTATAGATGGGTTTTCCCTTAAAAGACCTCTGAAATTTGGCTAAACATTCATAAAACACCCTGTATAATTAGACCTACAATTAATCATATGTACAATACAGTATATTTATAAGCAAAAATAATGACTCAAAAATAACATTACAATCTAAAAATAAGCTTTCCTATGTAGAAAGTTTGTCTACGAATAATTTTTCTAATAATAATTTTGTATAAATAGAAAAAGAAAATGCAGTAAAAATGACTTCCATAGACTTAAATTTCATTTATTTCTTGACATAATTAATTAATTTAAATTATAATTATTATATTAAAATTAAATATTTCTATTATATAAACAAGATTAGCAT